AAATATATAAAACATTTCTACAGGGTGTATACCATGTGTAATGCGGTTCTCAAAATCTCATGGAATCTACATGATCGACGATGAATGTTAAGTTCAAGATACATATTACACATAAATGGCCATCCATGTTTTCACTTGATACAGTGTTGCTTTTTATTATTTTTTAACAAGTTTCTTGCCATTTTAAACACCTTCATGCTTTACCAGGAGCATGTATATTAAAACAAAAGAAACAGGCCTATGCAGTTCCTGATCGTATGTCATAATGTGAAATTAGTTCGGGTCAGACTAAAACACTAAACGCCCGAAAATAGGTCACAATTTCTTTCTGGCTTTAATTTTATTCTGTGACCACATAAAATTTCTATATAGTATGTATTGTTTTAATCATTAAATTACATTTTATGCTATTTCAATAAAACAACTCCCCCCCCCCAAAAAAAAAAAAACTATGAAGAATAAACTATGCATAAACTTTTTTTTCAATTTGAAAATACATCAAATGAGTACATTTTGTTTAATTTTTTACCTGGTTTTTGATTAAAAGTTATTATAATTATGTGAACGATTCGTGTCTTATCCACCGTCTCCTTTAAAATTTATAGATAAATTTAAATAGTCTTTGAACTTGACAGCATTTTAAAGTTTCTGTACAAATTTATTAATGATAATAAATCTACAATATATCGCAATATATTGCAATATTCAACGTAAAATATTGCAATATATCGCAATATGGTTTTCACTCGCAATACCCAACTCTACCCTTCACCCAAGGATGCTGTGTATAAAGTTTTGTCAAAATTGGCCCAGTGGTTCTTGAGAAAAAGTCAAAAATGTGAAAAGTTTACAGACGGACGACGGACAATATGTAATCAGAAAAGCTCACTTGAGCCTTCGGCTCAGGTGAGCTAAAAATGAACTAGAATGATCCATCTTTCTTGTGCATTCCTAAAATCTTTACATTTACAACTGAGAAAATAAATCTTTAAATTCATATGTGTCCGAGTTGTCACTTTTTCCCATATTTTATTCCAATTAATTTATCTGCACTGTAAAAGATATATTCACAAAAAAGATATATTCACAAAAAGAACACTATCAGTCTTATTCTAATACCATTGTCATAAAAAATTAATTTGAGATTACGTCTCAACAATAGGCATTGAATTTGATGTACTTCTCTTTACTACAAAGAAAATTCTTTTCACACCTTACAACTCAAAATACCAGATAAGCTTTTTAAAAATACTCCTGTTTTGGGTTATCATAGGACATAGAAAGGCATTGTGTTTGTCTGTTTGCCAAATTTCTCATTTCAATGTCCTTAGAAAAGCTTCTACTCAAAATTTTCAAAATACCCTGCACTGCAAAACAATGTATGAATATGCCAAACCCTGATTTTGCATGCTGCATTATCCATATATATAAACAAGATCTTAGGCCTAAAACTTTTTGACTAGTTATCGAGTACTTGTTTTCTACTTTGTGTTGACTGAAAGTTCCTGAGAAATTGCACATCCATTTAAAAAATTTAATCACGGAATATTGCATACCTTTTTCTAGTCGGTCAAAATTGCATTGTGATAGAATCGGAATTTACAAATTGATGATCATTTTTTAGTGTTAAAATGAGGCAGCAAAGATTCTGAAAACCATTGGTCCTACTGGCAAAACCAATAGAAATTTGAATTTTCTGATACAATTTGCTATTTGATTTGTCCATATGACCGATCAATTTCTGTGCTTTCAATCCAATTTATTTTTTAATTTTTGTTGTACCGTTAGGGCTAGGTATCGACTGGAAATTTGATATTGTGATATATATAAATATATTATGTTATTTTTAACTGTATTGCTATAATATTGCAATATTTCATTGATTGATTGTATGTTGTTTAATGTCCCTCTCGAGAATTTTCACTTAAATGGAGATGCCACCACTTGCCGGTGGAGAGCTACAAATTTTGTCTTATACTCAGCACTCAGGGCCATTGAGCAGTGAGAGATCTTTTTTGTGCCAGCACCTACTGTGACACAGGACCTCGGTTTTATAAGGTCTCATTCAAAGGACCAGTCTCCACATCCCACAGTGGGATTCAAACCCGCTAGATAAGGACTGACTTCTTACTTCGCAACTCTAGAGCAGACACTCTAACCACGGTGCCATGCAGGCAACAGCAATATTTTAAATGACAGTTAAAAAGCCTCCTTTTCCTATGTAACCCATGCCATTTTCTTATGAATTACATCATGAATTATATTAGAATTTGTTTGGACTGATAAAATTTGCTTCGGACTGGCAGAACAGTGATCACCGAATGATTGAATATGATAGAAAATATTTGGATTCGGAAACTCTGCATGCCTAGTTTAAATTTCAAACAAATTTTATTTAAGAATATTGTTCAGGAAAAAGATTTACATTTATAAATTTTGACTTAAACTTTTGAGTGCTTGAGCTCAGAATTTTGCTGTTATAAATACATATAAAGAATTCCTATGACATACCTTAAACTTTCATTATACTGACTAACGATTGAATTCTGTTTCTTATATAAACCTTTTGTCAAAAAATTGTCACTCCATTAGCTATAAATTTTAAAGTATTTGGATTGGAGCTAAATATATACATGTCAAGTACTTTTTTGTGTATGGACGCATTGGTTTCTGACATAACAATGGCATGATCACGATGATATGACAGAAGCATTTTTCGAATTGGGAAATATAAGTCCATCAAAACCTAAACATAAAGGTCCCTGAATGGTACTGGGATCAGATACAGCCCAATAATTTTTCTCCATTAGATGATTCTTCACAGGGATTAACTGAATGGTCTCCGACATTTAAAAATTCCAACAAAAAAAATTCATTTGGCGTGCTTCAAATTGTAAACGAAACTTGTGTCTGAACAGAGGGTCATTAGTAAATAAACTATAACAAAACTTTACCCGAGTATTTGGGTTGGAGTTTAAAGAGACACAATGGGATTAAGTGCGTTTGATTTCGTATGTATACGCGTATGTGTAAATAAAAACAATAGGTCTGATAAGGCCTTCTCCCAAACTACCTGCATTAACGCACCTTAAATTTGGCAGAAAATGACCTGGCTCGTTTTCCTTCATCGTGTTCATAAACATAATTAGGAAATCAAAATTTACAACCAAAATACAAATTGAACAGTATCACGAAAACTTCTGAAGGACTTAAGCTGCTTTATAAATATTTTATGAACCCTACCTAAATACTGCTAAATATTTTGTTAAACTTTAAGATGTATAGTACTCCACTGCCATTGTAGTAAATACACATTACATCCTTTGATGTTCTAGAGATAAAAGTCCCAGTACATAAAATTTTCTATTTCAGTGGAACTATGATCATGATGATGGACTTCTACAGAAACTGTGGCTATCAAAAAATTCAAAAATGGCATCAAGTCTCAAAGGAATTTTGAAAGTGGTGCAAATTCCTTTTTTTCTTGCAATATCTGTTGCATTTATCAATCATATCCATGATATCCAATGCCATTTTTTCTCATTGAAAATAATGCATGATTGATTTAAGTTTAGTCCCTAAAGGGTTGATAGATTAATTTATATATATCAACATTTTTTTGTGGAAAGGTTAAACTAAATTCTTGGTTTCTTTCTTAATAAAATAATTGGCAAGGAACCTTACATTGATTTTTTCATCCCTTAATTCACACAAGGATAATCAATTGACCCAGCGGTATACAAGAAAAATTTGAATTTTCTTGCCAAACAAGTAGAGGAAAAAATCCAGAAGAAAAGACCAAGTTTGACTTTTATCCACTCCATAATTGGCTATGCCGCTAGTCTTAGAAAGTAAAACCAAACATTAATTTGATAAAGCTATTAAACTTTTTAACTTCTCTGGGGCCATGCCAAAAATGCTGATCAGGAATTTTAATGCCCAAATTATAATTTTCACAGGTCCTGTTCTAAAATCCCCGGTACTTAACAGTATGTCTATCAAAACAAAACCGGTTAAAGTTACTGTCGAGTTTCACTGGAATATGGCTTACCAATTACAAAAAGTTTTCGTTGGAACATATCGATATCATGCTACACTCAGTGAATAAAAGAATGTGAAATATTACAAAGGAAAATTTTGGGCTTTCATCTCTCAAGTTAACAAGAAACTTCTGATAAACCTTTAATTCCAAACAAGCAAGAAAACCACATTAAAGTACATTTTGATGTACTTCCTTAAAATCGACAATGATCACATGTGCTTACAATCGCAATAATCAATCAAGTGAAAGTGTCAGAAAATCAATACCCTGCCTAGCTAGGACAGGCATAATATACCCATTATACAATTTACAAGTCAAATGTACAGGTGCGATGCTGAATTTTACACTAAATAATATCTGGTTCATTTCACATAGATATCCGATGCCAACATATTTTTATGGACACACAAGACGTAAGATTTATATGAAATTAAAACTTTTTTCTCTAAGGTGTCGTCACACCTTTAATATTAATATGATTAAAAATTCATAAATTCAGGTAAAAAATAATCTGTCTGGTGTTGAAGAAAACAAAGAATTAATGGAGTTTTCATCAACATCCATAATGATAGAGAGGTTTGAATAGAATAATTTTAACATAAATAAACATGCATTTCCTATTTAATATGATTTTGACGGAACGAACCTTCTTTAATAATATGAATCAAAAGTGTATCTCTCTTTCCTTCATATCATACTCATGTTTCAAGTGTATATGATTCATAAGAGTTCTGTTGAGAATATATGTTATTAATTATCCAAGTTCTGATAAGGCTACTTCCAATGGGAATGGAAGTTTCAACTTAAAACCAAACCTTTTAAAAATTAAAGATCACCAGTCATAAACTCAGGATAAATATGATAAAAGCAAGGACAAAATTACCCAGAAAGTGCATGAAATTGAAAAAATAACTATGTATATGCAAGCATGTTTTAAATACAATGTATTTTAATTTACCTCTTTGCTTTGGTCTTCTTCGTCAGTTTTTTCTTGAACAGTAATATAACGAAAGGGTGATTTTCCATCCAATGTAAAAGTCTTTCCAAGGGGTGTGGATCCAGGAGTTGACCTCCCTAATGAAATGGATCCAGGAGTTGACTTTCCCAGAGGTGTGGATCCAGGGTGTGGAGATGGGGTGGCAGAAGCTAGATATTTTTCAATCTCTAAATCCTCTGCTGTGCGAAGGGCTAAGGGACGACTAGGAGTGCGATTAGAAATCTCCGAAAACGGAGTTCCCCTGAGACTAATCGATTCTGTTATAGATAATACCTCATCCTCTGAAATTATTCCCTCACTTAATGCCTTTTCAGCTTTTTTGAGTTTTTGTAAATTCCCAAATGCAAATTTTTTGGATTCGTTGAGTATCTTTCGAAGTTCTGCATCATAGCCTTCTTTGACCTCAGAGAACTCTTTTTCCTTGCGCGTTTGGTCCTCACATTTTTTCTTGAAATCGACCTCGATTTTCTTTTTCTCCTCCCTTAGTTTTTCGATCTCCTTGGACATTTTCTCTGCATTTTTTTTGTACTGTTTTTTCTCTGATTCCACCACCGACTGAAGGGCCTTAGTTTTCTCCTCTTCAAACTTTTCCCTGAGATTTTTGACCTCCTCTTCTTTGTACCTAAACAATTTTATTTTAAAATAATAATTAAAACATTAAAATTCATTTTAGCTTTGTATGTCTAGTTATTTCTGTAGGTGGAAAAAAGAAATACAGTTAAACTTTGGTATCTCAAACACTGATATCTTGCAAGAAAACCATAGATATGTGAAAGTAAATTAGAAGTTTAAACCACTTTTTTTTCTCTAAAGTATTTTAACTGTGATATCTCCTTAAATCTAGAAGTTCTCCTTTGGTCCCATCTAGTTTGAGAACAAGGTGTGACTTAGAGTTACTTTGCATGAAATCAAAGTCTTACTCTAGTAAATTTTCTTGTAAGTTAAAGAAATTTGTAGAGTTCTAATCAATATATGAAAATACACCTACCCATGCAGTGTATCATGTTTAATATAATGTCTAAATAATTTAGTCCTACTTACTTGAGCACCTCTTGTAGTTCCTTGTCCTTCTTTTTGGCTATATTCTCCTGTATAATCTCTATCTCCTTCTGTTTCTCTTGACTTAACTTTGTCTCTAATTTACTTATCTCCTTTTCCTTGTCTTTCTTGTACGCCTCCTGAAGAGACTTAATTTCCGAGGATTTTTCACGATAAATCTGTTTGGTCCTTGCTTTTTCGGCCTCTAACTCGCTTTTAAGTCGTGCTATTTTGCGTTTGTAGTCGTCCACCGAGTGACTCCTGTGCGATTTCTCTCGTCTCCGCCCCTCGGATTTTGAGCTCATGGTACTGGTTGGAGTGGAGGCCCGGCTGATGTCATTGATATCAAAATCAAACTCCTCCTTCAGGCTCAGTCTTGAATAAGGCCGCCTGTTGTGGACCTCCATTCTTCAGGCAGAAGCTAACAAAAAATTACAAATATGTGTGTATGTGTTCTTTCAAATTCATTTAAAATTTTGAAACCTATATATTGATATAAATTTAATCAAAATATACCAGAAGTTTTTATTGCAGATTTTAAAATCATAGATAAATCTGAATAATAAAGAATTATCTTTTTCAAATAAATTAAAATGAGGATATACTTAAATGAAAATTGGAAACAGTATGGTTACATTTTACTTTAATTTAAATTCGTCAATGTATATACATGATATACATAACTTTTGGGTTATTTGATAAATACAATGTTGTAAACCTTTTGTAATGGTTTAGAAATCCAGCATATCAAATGCTTTGTAAAACTGTCTCTTTAACCTAACCTGTTATGTAAACAAATAATGTATGAGTCAGTTCCTTTCAAATGGAAATTTATAAATTAAAATAATAACCTGATAACTTTTAGTATATGTGAGAACACATATGGTAATGTACTCTACTTTAAGTTATACTCTGAGCAAATATTATTACTTAACATATTATCCACACACACTTAGATCTAGAAATGAATTTCACAAAATTACCATTTTCCCGGATTTTCTCTATCACTCACGAGGTCCTTAGCGTACCTAACAACAAGCGTTGCAGCGACTTAACTGTCGCACCGATGCAAACAATTTTTCGCATTGACAGCTCAAATACTACCCAAAATAACAATCACACGCATTGTTTTCATACCAATCATTGTTAAATCATGGCCCATTCATAATCGACAACAATATTTACCTGTATATTTACAAAGGAATCAGTTCCATGCAAGCTCCAGCAGGCATCGGATGGAAAATAGTTTGGGAATTTCGTACATCAAAAACATCTTCCTGTCACTGTCAAAAATGAGATAAAGATGAAATTCAAAATAAAATTTCTACCCACCAATAATCTGCACTTTAAATAAAACATTTAAATGGATTTAAAAACTAACAGGATTCAACATATACCTATTCACATCGATACACACTGGATATCCGCCAAACTGCTTAAAAATTAGGTCACGTGATTGTGGTATTCTAAAACCCAGGCTCAATCCGGTGGTTTGCCAACACACAGCTGATTAAAAACAAAGGCATCTTATTAATATTTTAGAAAACCCGCGTCATATTCATTAATGAAATTTCAAGTATGTTATCAATTGATAACAATGTAAAGGCTATTGAACCTTGTATATTTTCCATTAAATGAATTTAAAACTGTTGGTCTACATAAAGTCAAAAAAATTAAATACTTCAAGTACATCTTCAACATGTTCAGTTCTATACTTCTTTTACCTATAAGAGTAATTTGATATTCTGAACGTTTTTTTTTTTACTTTTCGATCCAACAGTTTTCTTATAATATTTTATATCTAACATAATTCCTTAATTGATCACATATATATTTTTTCGTTTTATTGTAATGTGGTCAAAGAGAGACAACTCTATCACATAATGATAACAGAGACATTTTTTTTACGAACTAAAGATATAAATCCATATTGCATAGGCGTGGGAGTCGGGGGCTTGGGGAAGGGGACTTTAAGTTTTACCCCTTCAACTTTTTGGGAAAAAATAGACATAATATAGGAAAAATATTGGAAAATTGAGACTCTGATCTCATACTTTTATTTGATGGTTTAGTCCCCCTTTTTAAGTTGATTCCGACGACGATATACTGGATTTAGTTTTAAGACACACGTTTAATTTTTTAACAAACATTCCCCTCTGCATATATTCAATTGTAATCAGTGTTATCATATTGTAATAATTTGTTCATGCCCCCTGAGGGCCCTTGATTGGTGAATAAACATATTATTATATATATATATATTCATGTATATTTTTTGTACCATTTAGTAACTCGATTTGGAGAAAATGTATTCCTAATATAATCCGCACCATAAGTTATTGAACCTATGTAATGGGCTTTCAAAGGGACTATGGATTTTTCATTAAATCGTGTATTTGTTTCGAGGTCGTTGGTTAAATTTAAGTTAGATGGGCATGTGCAACACTAAATACGAAAGTGCATAATCCAGTTAATAACATCTTTATTCATGGTTCACACATTGGCTATATGTAATATTAACTGACTCAGGGTAAGAGGGAAAATCATTAAATGCATTGAATGTGAAAAAATAAGTCAACTTTTCGTATTTTTAGTTATTCGTTTAATATTTAATTAATTTTTTTAAAAAAAATGCAGATCTGAATTATTTTTAAGCACATGAAACCTTAGCTTGCACGTTTTAACAAAGAATGTATTGAAAGTTTTCTAGCTCCTATTAAGTTTTCCTCCTGTTCTTAACGGTAAGCCTCCCCGAGGCCATCAATGCCTGTAAATGTGGGGGAAAAAACCCCTGAAAATACACTGTTTTGAAAGAGAAAAAAAAAGTCACAGCTAGAGAAAAAAAATTATAATTTATTCTGTAAATTAACACACAACACAACAGATAAATGCAACAATCACATCCTGCAAATGATGTCTTAGGGAGTTGTTACACAACAGGCCTGATACAGTGAAGTGAAGACAAGTAACAGCTGACCTCTATACGAGAAATGATCAATGAACATGATGAATCAGATCTCACGAACCACAAACAATTCGACCTATAAGTTCAAATCGACTGTCAATTTCACTTGTTATTCGGATGGTTGGCAACTTGAATTTCTTGAATGTATTTATCATACAGCCGTGCACCCCCGCCTGGCATATTATAATGCTCTGCATAGTCAATTTTACAATCACATGGCTCTGGTACATTGCTCTGCATTGAAGAGTGCAGATTCACTGAAGCGTGACAGTTCATCGTATCAGCAATTTCTTTCTCTTCTTTATCTGTTGCAATATTGGTTTGCACGCTTGGTTCTGAAATTTCTAAATAATCGTCATGCCCTCCTTGAATGCCTTGTGTGCTTGGTCCATGAATTGAAAAATCCACTGTTTCTTCTAAGGTCAATGATCCGTCTGAAGAGCTGCACAGAGTCCTTCTGCAGCTTCCGTTTTGAAATGCAGATGAATAACACCCGACATTACTTGTTTTCAGACATCTAAATAATCCTCTGATAGTCAGCTGGGCCATTTTTGTCCTGTTAGTCCTCTGCACGATCAAAAACAACTGGCAAACACAACAGTGCAAAGACCTTTAATGTTGGTAAACATACTTTCACGTGATGAATCCATGCGAATCGAGGACTACCCTACGTCATAACTCGGTCACGGGCGGATCACACGCAGGTGCTCGTGGACCTCAATATGTACTGTGTCCCCATTTTGGTCGAATAACTGATTCTCTAGCCTATATTAATTAAAAAGAATATATATATATATATATATTTTCAAATTTAATTTCTAAAGACATTTTATTGCAAGACATTTACATAGACATAGAGTGATCTTGATTTTGCAAGACTTTTTGTTTAAAAAAACTTTTTTTCCCTGTCGAAAGTTCTTTTGTAAAACGAGGTTCAAATTACTAGTAGTTCATGTGGCATGTCCATTTTTGTTTTCAAAATTTGCCCCAGAGGTTAATTCTAATTTATACATGTAGATAAGTCATTGGGATTTACTGTTAAATAATTTTGTTTACGCTTCGTAAAAACCATTTGCTATTCATAGATGTTTTCATGAAAAAAAAATCACATCCTAAATTCCACAAAAGTTCTTATTTTAACAAATTTAGAATCACATAACCAATTTTAAATTGACTAAGTACAAATATATAAATATTTAGGCAAAAATGGAACTTTTAAAAACAAGAGCACATGGTTCACAATCAGGCAAATATGACAAAGGTATATACATGTAATGTCATGTATACACGTATAGGTAATTAAGTCATTAAAGGTATACACGTATATTCTTCAAACCAGTCCATAGATCCGTTTTGTTATTAATGTCATAGTAATGTCATATCGCATATATTAGATCTATTGTACCATCGATTTACCGACCCAAACCTCAATGGCGTGATCATGATGATCACATTTACAAATGAATGGTTGGGAGAGAGAAGATAAGCAAACTCAAATTAGTAAAGTATGTTCCTACATTGAATTATAAAAAATAATAATTTGTACGTTCCATCAATTATATTATCTGTCTATAAACAATCAAGGTTTTAGACCTCTGAAGAACCACTGCACTGGGCCAAATTCATACAAACTTTCTACAAAACATCATTTGATGAACGAATGGGGAGGAGAAATATTTTGTTAATAAGTGTAATGAAGTAAATGTGGAGAGATCTAGCAGCAGAGCCGTAATTACTCTAGTGAGCGTTGTTACCAATGGGCCTCTAGTAAATACAAGTATTATTTTCGACAAAAGCAATGTCCTGTTGAATATTAATATCTCCGTATGCAATAAAATCCGGATTGGACCATGCAGTTCGCTATCGCTCCATCGAGCATCGACTAAAGGGTCGATGATGCGATGGCGCGATACATGTTACGATGGTGCAATGACGATGAAGCGATGGGATGGAGCGACAATGCGATATTAAACAATGGTGCGATAGCACGATTAAGAGACAGTAAACATCGTTTCATCATCATCATTATCGTAACATCGTCATCGTATCATCGCTATCGCACCATCATACTATCGCCTCATCGTTATCGCACTATCGACCAAAACGTCGATGGTACGATGATGCGATAGTGAACTTCTTCCGTCTAGTGCGTTAGTTTCACTGTGACGAATGAATGAGAATGTAAAACAATTACTGCAAGGAGGAATTTTGTTATTTTTAAGGGTTAATAATTTTCTGATGACGGCAAAGTTCTATCGAATATTTCCTTCTGTATGACCTTACCAGACTTCCGTCCAGTGTGTTAATATCACTGTGACGAACGAATGACAAGGTCACACAAGAAGCATTGTAATATAGTATATCTTTTCAAATTAGTTTATTTCCTCGACAATGACACTGTTCTGTTGATTATTATCTTCTGTCTGCCCTTATCAGACTTCCGTCCAGTTTGTATATGTCACTGTGACGAACGAATGTCAAGGTCAAACAAGAATCAATTTTGTTAATTCTTAAATATTTGTTTTTCTTCGTCATAAGCACAGTTTAGTTGAAAATTATAGTTCCACTGTGACGAACGAATGTCAAGATTAAACAAGAAACAATTTTGTTATACCTTCGGCTTATTCTGATGAATTCTGATGAAACTTTTTTCTATATGACCTTATCAGACTTCTGTCTAGTGAGTTAGTTTAACTGTGACAAACGAATGTCAAGTTAAAAGAATCAACTTTGGTTTTCTGTTAATGTGACGTACACATGTCAAGTTCAAACAAGACGCGACAAAGGCACTGTTCTGTTGAATATTTATCTCGTATGCCCTTATCAGACTTCCGTCCAGTGTGTTAGTTTCACTGTGACGAACGAATGTCAAGGTCAAACAAAAATCTATTAAGTTATTCTGTTCACTGATTGTGTCTTAGATATTAGTTTTTCGTCATGATCAAAAGCACTGTTTAGTTGAATATTTATCTCATATGCCCTTTTCAAACTTCCGTCCAGTGTGTTAGTTTCACTGTGACGAACGAATGTCAAGGTCACACAAGAATCAATTTCGATGCATTTGGAATATTTCTCTCTCCCTTTCACAAAGGGTCTGTTCTGTTGAATATTTATCTCTGTCTGCCCTTATCAGACTTCCGTCCAGTGTGTCAATTTCACTGTGACGAATGAATGTCAAGGTCAAACAAGAATCAATTAAATATTATTATAATGTATACTTTCCATGTAAGTATTGGTTTCGACAAAAACATTGTTCTGTTGAATAATTTTCTCTGTATGCCCTTATCAGACTTCCGTCCAGTGTGTTAATTTCACTGTGACGAACGAATGACAAGGTCAAAGGAGAGTCAATTTTGTTATTCTTTTCAGAAGGAACGAAAGTCAAGGTCACACAAGATTCATTTTTGTTATTTTCTTCAAGTTAGTATTTGCTTCGGCAAACGCACTGTTCTGTTGAAAATTTATCTCCGTATGCCCTTT